TGGAGGGGGCGGGGAGCGCAGCCGTGGGCTGGGAGCCTTGTCGAGGAAGTGGAGGGGGGAATAGGGGGCATAGAAAGGGGGTGGCATGCTTCGGGGGGTGTCCGGCAGGAGGTTTCGAGGGACAACAGAGACCGTGAGAGACCAGGGAGGATCAGGAGAAGGCATGAGCAGCAAGTGGCTTTATTAGGGTCACAGGTTCGAGCCCTTCTGCCGACAACCCATCAGCCGGGCGATGGGGCGTTCTCTTACTCCACTTCCAAGCGCTCGGGTGCGTCTACACGGCACCCTGACCGCCAAATACGCTGCAGAAATTGTGTAGCTTGTTCCGAAATAACCCACTATCCCGACAAGTCCCTTCCCCACTCTGGCATGATAAACGCAGGAGTTGGGGGTCAGCCAAAGTACCCCAAAACCTTATCCACCAAGCTTTGGTATAAAACCTCCCTCTAAAATCTTAACCTAGATTTTGGGGATAAAACCTTCGCTACCACCACCCATGTATTGATACAAAAATCAGGGGAGAGAGATCACTTGGGAAATCTCAGCCCGAAAGTACAAAGCGGGACACCCAAATTAACCAACACCAGGTTAATAAAAAGAAAAGAGAAAACACTTTTATTATCACCACACTATTCCTGTTGCAAGCACCATGACGGTACGGAAAAGTCACAACATACTATACTCATGGAGAAACTCCACCATGGACCTAGAACTTAATTACAAAGGGAAGCCAAAACATTTTTTTTAAATGCACGGACACTAGATCCCATTTCCCAAACCATAAAACAATAAAACAGATTTATCCAAACTTTACCTACTTACAGAGGGTGTGTCTAGACTACAGGGTTTTGTCGCCAAAAGTGGACTTTTGTCGACAAAACTAGACCTGCCTCTACGCTGCCGCTGAGTTCTGTCGACATAATGTTTTGTCGACGGCAGTAAACCTCATTCAACGAGGAATAACGCCATTTGTCGACAGACTTCTGTCGCCAGAAGGCGTTATTGCAGCTACACTGTCCTTTGCGTCTACACTGTCCTTTGTCAGCAAGCTTTGTCGACAGAACTGGATGTCGTCTGGATGCTGTTTGTCAAAAGAAGCTTTGTAAACAGGATCTGTTGACAAAACGTCTGCCGACAAAAGCCTGTTGTCTAGACGTACCCAGGAAAATGAAGAATTGTTTCTCCCTCATGTCTCCCTCAGTAACTAGAGAGGAACTGCCCAGAGACAAAGGAGGGAAAAGCCAAAAATTCTTTTGTCCTAGTTTGAAATTCCTACCTACATCCCTATTGGCCGACTCTACCTGAGTTAGGTATAGTTAACCCCTTAGTCCTCAGGCTGCTGGCTCACCCTCATGATCACAACAACCTTCGTGGGGTGTGAGTTCCAGGGATGCCGGAATAGCGCGCCCGTTTTTTCGAAAGAGCCGGGCGCGTTTAAAGCCGGTGAATTGCTATTTCGGATTTCTTCCAGCGTCCCGCAATAGCGCCTTTCTCATGATGCAGCCGAATGCCCGCTGTCTTTTTTGGGGGGGTTCCCCTATTTTTTGGCAAACGGCCGCAGGAAAGCCAAGGTTTGACCCGAGCCTGGTTCCCATGGGGTCCCTGGGAATCAGGGGGCGTCCATACCGCAGGGCAAAAGCCGAATAAAGCGGCGCAGCGTCAGCCGCGCCCGTTGCGGAGCGGACGCTGAAATAGCTTTGCTCGGCTGTTGATGCACCCCCATCGGGGCGATGTGGGGATGAAATCCGGACTCTTCTGCAGCCAGAAGAAACGTTGCCGCGGATTTTCACCGGCGTCCGGGTTTTACCCATTGTCCGATTAGCTAGCAGGGATTTTTAAGCCCGAAAGTCACAGCGGGGCGATTTAAAACCAAACCTGCGCACGACGCAGACTAAGGGGAAGGAAGGAAACAATTCAGCTGACGGGTGCTTCTTTCCCAGGGGCGAGTTGGAGAAGGTCCTAGACCCGGAGATTTCTTCGGAGCCAGAGAAAGCTGCCCCCAGCAAGGTCGCTCATAAAATGATCGCGCTCACGGAGGCGCTGCGGAAATTCCAAGGTACGGAGGAGGGGCGGGCAGGACGGGAACTCGGTGTAGGGTCGGCGGGAGGAGATGGGCCAGACGGTCCCTGTGGGGCAGGATGTTACCAGTACCGAGCTGTATAAGGGGCTGGAATTGGGGTTCTCAAACATGTTTGGCCTTTGGAACTATTCCAGGCCATGACAGCCCCCCCCATCCAAAAGACCCTGCGGATCTCATGCACCATCCCGACTTCTGCGCTGCTGCTGCTGGGAGTCGCAGCGGCCGCTCACGCCACCCTGCCCCCCACAATAGTCTTGCGGCCCCCCCTTTTGGGGGCCCAGCGTGCCCTGTAAGTGGGGTGCCTGGCAGCTCCCCCAGCACCACCCACCAAATTAGCAGAGTGCCCACCGCGAGGTTGGTGTTTCTCGGGAGGGTGCACATCCACGCATGCCGCAGTGCACGTAAAATTATTCCGCACGTGGGTCTAAAAACTGCCCCTGGGTGGACAAGATGGGAGGGAACATAACCCCTGACTCCCAACCTAGCCATGCTGTCGGTGGGTGGGAGTAGCAACACCAGTGTCCCCTGGAATCCCTGAGCTAGCCCCAGCCGCACCCTTTCCACCCGAGGCCCCGCCCATGAGACAAGCCCCGCCCACCCCGTGCCCGAATCTTCCTGGCCCCCTGCAGGGCCGGGGCTGCCATGCTCTGGCCTCGACCCCGGCCCTTCCCAGCAGTTGGGCATGGAGGCAATTTTGGGATGGCCGTACCTTCCCTGGCCTACATTACCGGCTCCCTCGGGGTACCTGGAAGCAAAGCGCTTGGACGGCCTCCCGGGGGAGATTGAAATGCCATCTGGCTGATTAGCAGAGGGCCCGCAGCCGGCAGCCTGTGTCTGCGATGGTGGTGCACATGCCTCGGTGCATGGGAGAAAATTTATTCCGCACGCAGGTGGCAAAAAAGTTGCGGGACCACCAGCCAGGACAGGGTAGGGGGGTGGGAAGTGTGAAAAGTGGCGGCCGAGCCCCGCCCCTCACGCCCCGATTCTCTCTCCCCAGTGGACGTGACGCTGGACCCCGACACGGCCCCCCCCCGCCTGGTCCTGTCGCCGGAGGGCGATGGGGGGCGGGGGGAGGACACCCGCCAGCCCGTGCCCGACAGCCCCAAGCGGTTCGACGCCTCCCGCTGCGTGCTGGGCCGGGAGGGCTTCTCGGCCGGCCGGCACTACTGGGAGGGGGCGGTGGAGGCCGGGGACGCCTGGGCCGTGGGGGTGGCCCGGGAGTCGGTGCGGCGGAAGGGCCGGGTGAACGTCAACCCGGAGGAGGGCATCTGGGCCGTGGGGCAGTGCGGGGCCCAGACCTTGGCCCTCACCTCCCCCAAGATCCCCCTCTCCCTGGCGGGCAGGCCCCGCGCCATCGGGGTGTACCTGGACTGCGACGGGGGGCGGGTGGCCTTCTTCGCCCCCGAGAACGAGGCCCCCCTCTTCACCTTCCCGCCGGGCTCCATCCCTGGGGAGAGCATCCACCCCTTGCTGTGTCTGGGGAGGGGGGCCCGGTTCAGGCCCCGCCCCTGCCCCGCCGGCGACGCTACAGAGGCTTAGAAATCCGCCCCTTCTGCTAAGCCCCGCCCCTGCTCCACCCATGTGCCTCTGCTCCACCCCCTCCGCCACAGGCCCCGCCTCCGCTTCACCCACCCTGCCCCCTGCTCTGCCCTTCCTCTAAGCCCTGCCCCTTCTGCTAAGCCCCGCCCCTGCTCCACCCATGTGCCTCTGCTCCACCCCCTCCGCCACAGGCCCCGCCTCCGCTTCACCCACCCTGCCCCCTGCTCTGCCCTTCCTCTAAGCCCTGCCCCTTCTGCTAAGCCCCGCCCCTGCTCCACCCATGTGCCTCTGCTCCACCCCCTCCGCCACAGGCCCCGCCTCCGCTTCACCCACCCTGCCCCCTGCTCTGCCCTTCCTCTAAGCCCTGCCCCTTCTGCTAAGCCCCGCCCCTGCTCCACCCATGTGCCTCTGCTCCACCCCCTCCGCCACAGGCCCCGCCTCCGCTTCACCCACCCTGCCCCCTGCTCTGCCCTTCCTCTAAGCCCTGCCCCTTCTGCTAAGCCCCGCCCCTGCTCCACCCATGTGCCTCTGCTCCACCCCCTCCGCCACAGGCCCCGCCTCCGCTTCACCCACCCTGCCCCCTGCTCTGCCCTTCCACTAAGCCCCACCCGTGCTCCACCCCAACCTGCCTTGCCCCACCCCTTTTGTTAAGCCCCACCCCTGCTCCACCTCCTCCCCCAAGCAACAGAGGCAGCAACAGGGGTTCCCAGCCAATCACGGGCCAGGAGGGAGTACATAAGAGGTGCTTGTGGGGCTATGCCAGACTCCGAAGTGTGGGGAACCACACGGTGGGCAGACAGACGCCCCACAGCGGGCACCGGGACGGGCCCCGCAAGGGGCTTGTGATAGCACACGAGAGTGTAACTCGGCCGGTAGCTTGTGCGAGGTGCTTGTGCGAGGTGAGTGTTGACCCCGTGACAGGGGGCTAAAGGCATGGACCTGTCTGTCGCCCCCCTCCCCGTTTTGTCTCCTGTGGCCGGGGGAACCGGGCGGCGCGTGCGCCGAGACGTGTTTGAATGAAAAAAGAATCGCCTGGTGCGTTGTGTCTTTTTTTAGCCTTCAAAGCTGCAACTGTGGTGCCCACACGTGTCTGCCCGACATGGGGCAGAACATTCCGTGCCCGTATCGGCCTGATCAGCCATTTGCGGACACACCGTGGACAGTCCACAACCCGTTAGATGTCAAGGTCCTCTTCGAATACGATGGACGAACAACAACAAGAAGCCTGCCAAGCACCTAGGCTGGTGGGGAGAAAAACTTTCACAAAAAGGTTCAAGTCTTTTTTTGCAGCAGGTTTCTGTAGTGTAGTGGTTATCACGTTCGCCTCACACGCGAAAGGTCCCCGGTTCGAAACCGGGCAGAAACAAGCCTTGGGGGAATGTTTTGGTGATGAATGTACCGCATCCCTGCCCGAAAGTGCCCCAAGCTATCTCCTTCCACACAGATAAGTCCTCCCGTTCCCTGCTCTTAAGTTGCGCAAACACCCCCCCAGTGGAAGTCCACCACCGGAAAAAATTCCCTCACTTGCCGTTTTGCGGGAAGTCCAGGTTTTTCGGAACGTATCCCGGACTTGGAGCGAGGCCGGCCAGTACTTTAGTTTTCTTTCCCTCCCACTCCAAATACGTCCGTGTCTCCTGCACTTTCTTCCTCTTTTCGGGAAGCTTTTCCGGTCGGACGGAGAGGGTTTTAGCTGGCTTGACGCGGGCGTAATAGGGGTTACACAAAGCCTGTAAGCTATTCTCTGCCTGATTCTCTACCCCGCAACTGATAGGTATTCGGGTGTGTCACAGCCGAGCCTTCCCCGTCCCAAAGATCCTTTTCTGCCCGCGCAGCCGGTGGCGAGAAATTCTCCCTTGACGACATGTTGGCTCTGTCTCGCTGCACTGTCAAGGCCATGACCACGGAAAAGGGGTTGTATTGAGAAGTTGCGGCCTGTAAGCTAAGAGGGGGGGTCCTTCACCCTGATGCTTGTCCCCCCCAGGCAGTAGACCAGGGAGAAAATTCAGAAATTTGGCACATTTATGAGTAGGCCTAGGAGGTGTGAAAAGCTGAATTAAAGCCACTTCCCTGGTGGTCTAGTGGTTAGGATTCGGCGCTCTCACCGCCGCGGCCCGGGTTCGATTCCCGGTCAGGGAAAGGAAGTGTTTTTGGACACGCATCCCTTCACCGGAAATGGAAACCACTGTGTCTAGACTACAGGGCTTTTTCGAAAAAAAGTAGCCTTTTCTCGAAGAAACTTCCCCTGCGTCTAGACTGCCGCCGCGTTCTTTCCAAAGTGCATCGAAAGAAGGCGGCCGTTTTTCCGACCGCGGAAAACCTCGTTTTTACGAGGAAGAGCGCCTTTTTTCGGACGTGTTCTTTCGAAACAAGGCGCTAGGTCATGCACACGGTGCTTTTTCGAAAGAGGGCATCCAGACTGCCTGGGTGCGCTCTTTCGAAAAAGCGGCTTGCTTTTTCAAAAGTTCTGGTTGTAGTCTAGATGCTCTTTTTCGAAAGAGGTGTTTTCGAAAGTATCTTGGCCCAGACAATCCGGTATGTGCGGGTTCGGTCCAGTAAAAAAAAAAACCCCAGAAAATACCAGACGTGAAATGTCTGATATTCTGTTTTTCTTGGATGGAAGGCCGCATGGGACATTCTTCCCCTACCACGTCTGGTGTGGGGGAAGGGGAGCGTGGGATTTAAAGGCTCCATGACTTTTTTTTTTTTTTGGCTCAACCGTTTTTTCCCCCGACACGTTTGCTATTTGTTGTGAAACTATCTGGCAATCCTAGCACTGCACAGTTCGTTCGGGAGAAGCTACTCCGGAATAGTGAGCTTGTTTCGAAAGAGCGCGTCTACACTTCAGGGAAAGTCTCCGAATGAGTCGGAGGCCGGAGGAATAACTTAGAATGCAGGGCTTTCGAGCGGAGCCCGGAGTTGGAGCGCGGAGCAACGGAGCTACAGGTTTTTGCCCGGAGCTGGAGCGGAGCCGGAGCACAGAAAATCATGACAGCTTCACTGCTCCCGGTTTTTTTTTTTCCGTTTTCAATCCAAAATGAATGATATTTTAGCAAGCGAGTCCTAAAGGTGCCAACAAGTTTCAGATTGTCTAACAATCGATATTAACATCTTCGTTACCACTTTACGTAATAGGTCACGGTTAGTCTCACTTTGGCCGGAAGCAAGATTTAATGTACAGATCCAAAATTACAAAGCTTCTTGGAGCTATGTTTTATTAACGAATCAGATAATTATCAGACACCCGGCAGACTGCTCCCACGCGTGTGCCAAGGCTAGGCGAGTACGTACTCGCGTAGATAAATTAGATAGATTAGTATGTGGTTATTTTCAACCTAGTAACGCGGAGCCTCGTTACTTCCCAACAATTACTGTTGCAGAACAGCGCTAGCATGTACTAACGCTACAGCACATACCACATTTCATTGATATATCTATATTAAAGCGTTTTTGAGATATTCATTAAACACGTGGAACATATTTCAAATATTTTACCGCAAAATTTCATAAGAAAAACTAACTTGCAATTGACAAATAAAAAATTATATTAATTATGTATATTACAAAATTATAGTTAAAAATAAATTTGAGTTGGAGCGCGGAGCTGGAGCGGAGCAATTCCAAAGTTTGATTGCTCCAAATCCCTGTTAAAACGGTCCTGGCGAGGGGCTATTTCAAAAGCGCAGCAGTGGCGCCATCCACAAAGAGCTCTTTCGAAAAAGGCGTTCTTCTTCGGCGCTCCATCTAGACTGCAAGCCTCTTTCGAAAGAGGCTTTTTCGAAAGATACTTTAGAACACGCATCTAGACTACAGCCAGTATTTTCGAAAAAGCAAGCCGCTTTTTCGAAAGAAAGTACCTGGGCAGTTTGGATGCCCTCTTTCGAAAAAGCACAGTGTGCATTGCAGCTACATCTAGACTACAAGGCTTTTTGGGAAGAAGCGTTTTCGACAGCATCTTTCAGAAAAGCCTCTTTCGAAAGAGAGCGTCCAGACTACACGCAGATTTTTCGAAAAAGCGAGCGGCTTTTTTGAAGGAGAGTCTAGACGCGCTCTTTCAAAAAATCACAGTTTGCATTCAACAGCGCTGTTTTCCAAAAGAGCGCTTTCGAAAAAAGGCGTTATTCCTCGTGGAATGAGGCTTACCGCGATCGAAAAAACGGCCGCGTTCTTTCGATTGACTTTCAAAAGAATGCGGCGGCAGTCTAGACACAGGGGAAGTTTTTTCGAAAAAAGACCACTGTTTTCGAAAAAACCCTGTCGTCTAGACACACCAGCGCCTAAGCACACTTTCGAAAAGAAGGCGTTCTTCCTCGCAAAATGAGCTTTTCCGTGGACGCTAAAACGGCCGCGTTCTTTCACTTGACTTTCGAAAGAACTCGGCAGCAGTCTAGACGCAGGCGCAGTTTTTTCGAAAAAAGGCCATTTTTTTTCGAAAAGACCCTGTAGTCTAGACACACCCTTGGAGGTTTACCAATGTCGAAAACCCTGCTGCGTTCTTTCGATTTAATTTTGAAAGAACGCGATTGCAGTGTGGATGCAGGTAACGTTTTTTGGGGAAAAAAAGGTCAGTTTTTTTTAAAAAAAAAACCCTGTAGCCTAGGCATTTCAGAAAAAAGGTCAAGTTCTACAGCAGCTGGGGTTTCTGTAGTGTAGTGGTTATCACGTTCGCCTCACACGCGAAAGGTCCCCGGTTCGAAACCGGGCAGAAACAGTACCTTAATTTTTTATATTTTTTGGCTTCCAGTTATTTTTGTTTTCTTTCTTTCTTTTGAACTTTTCGCTCAAATGCATCCACAACTTCTTGCGCTTTCTCCCTCCGTATTTTTTCCCGTGTATACAACTATTAAAGGCCTGAAGGAGGGGGTAGCTCGTCTGTTGAGGGTGGGAATTGTGACTTGGGAGCCGGCCAGATACTTAACAAATACGAATGATGGAAGGATTTTAATTTGTTTAGCACCGAGACAGAAGTTTCCTGATTTTGGAACTGCCCGCCGACAGCCTCAGGTATCCCCTTCATGTCAGAAAATT